TTTTGAGAAGCAGTATTTGTATTCTTTTTCAAGAAACTGCTGCAACGCCGTAGTTTAGCCACTACCTTTTCTTCACTGCCTGCATCGACAGGTCAGCTTTCCCTTTGATGACGTTACGGTAGCTTGTGTTGTTAACTCTATCTGTTTTTATCTTGGATTTAAACTTTGGAGCGAGGCAGTGTGTTGTCTTACTCTACAAACGCTCGTAACCTCTGCAGAGCATGCCTTAGATGAAAGTGGCCCATTTAGCAAGAGCCGTATTGCTCTTTTAAAACGCGCGAATCGTTTAAACTTATTGTGAAGGAATTCATTTTGAACGGGGTTTGTTCATCCCATAGAGCGTCAGATTCATGATTAAGAGGTCTCGGTTTAAAATCAGATTCCTTTTGTCTTTTTTTTTCTAGGGTGGATAAGTGAATATCACTTCACGGGTAAAAACGGAAAACTATGCGCTATAGTGTGCACACGAACAAGGCACTCCTGGTTGATGAAACAGTAGCCAGTTTAGTACCACACTATAAGCTTCACGAAAGCAGGGTTCTTCAAGGAGTACCCGGCGATGAAAATCTAATGGATACGGATATCCAAACGGTTAAAAGCTTTTCTTTCTATTTAGAAGTAACAGATGATCTATAGCGAGCGCCCTGTCTGACTATATCGGTAAAACAGACTGATGTCAACAGCACTGTGCGATTCGCATGGGAAATTCATAGCCACAACTGTAGTGAAAGACATTAACAGAGACTACTAAAATACGTACTACTTTAAGATCCGTTGTCAGTGTATAACAGCAATAAGTGTAGCCGACACTAACGTAGGTAATCCATTGAAGACTAAAAAGTAATAGAATTAACCCATTCTAATGAAGCTGTATGTGGAAACAGAAAATAATCGATTAAAAGAACGTAAACACAGGAAAGGGAATACGAAAATCAGTTGTTATATGTCAAAAAGTAAATTGATATGAGTTGGATGGATTCGGTGGTTAGGGACACAAGGAGGATGTTAAGGGCTTTATTTTACCGCTGGCGTTTTGGTGGAACATGTTCCAATCTCAGTACAAACAGTGAGATACTGAGAGCAGAGCAGTCTTACCCAAGATGGCGATGTCATTTGACAGCGACAGATGCGCCAACTCTTGTGACTATTTGTGATTTGGGTGGATTTCTCGACTTTCACTACTGTTTGCTCAGAGGATTTCCATTGCTGTTTCGTTGAAACGCTGGCAATAAAGTTGAAACTTAGCGGTTGTCTTCGCTTTTGTTTCGTTATACATCTCATTCTGATGATCACACTTAATAATCAGTCGGATCAAGACGAATTGCCACAAAACGCTTGAGTAGTTAATTGTTTCGGTACTTCTAGCCCATGGTAGTATGGCCATACAAGAACACTGCTCTCACTGTTAACGGCTGTTTCGGTTTGTGCTGTTTCCGGTACCTCCGCAATTCGAAGCCGACCTATTTGCCACTGTGCCGTCACTACGCGACTGTGTATATAACCATTGGATCCAGACACTTGAAAACGAGAACACAGAAACTAGATGAGCGTTAAAAACTAAATTATTTGGGATGGGGTTATGGTCAGAGAAAACCATTTGAAATTTATTTCGGCCGTAACCCGGGTCACATGCATCATAGAATTTGGAAGTGTCTTATTTGCCAACCCGCAAACCGGTAGTGATATTTTCGCCTTCTAAGGCCTTCATTTCGCTGCTGCCATTCCTATATCGATTCAAATGTTGTTTCTACAGTTGCTGAATTCTCTTCTCGTCTATGATTGAAAGCTGCTCTATACACTGCAGTACCGTAATTAATGCTGATATTCAGTGAAGCAGTAAGATGGCATTCATGAGTAAATTACTGTGATCAGGGTAGTATCTTCACAGACCTGGTTTACTGTTATTTTTGCTTGCCGCCGTACCCTCGGGAACCAGTTGTAGCCATCTCTCGCGGAAGACTACGGCACTCTAGAGATTAGTGTAATGTGAAGATGGCGATGTATGAAACGAAGGAGAAACAGAGTTTATTGAAGTTAAATGCGCACCAAAGCCTATGTCTAAAGTTATGACAATATGATGAATAGCAGACTGGCCATATGATATCGCTGATATGCCGACAAAGCCGCAAGGACCATTGCCTGCCTTCGATCTAGTTCCATTGATGCTGACGATGTTTGCAGTTTCAGTAAGATTCCGACGCTACCCTGCATATATTATCCGTTAATTGCTGGAGTTTACGGTTGTTATTCTCCTACAAACGAAGGCGAGAGTATCAGACGAAATGCCACTGTATTTTTTCGATTGGTGATTTTCGTTGCGCTGATTTTAGAACCTTGGATGTTTTTAGTTCGAAAAGGTTCCGGACGTGCCGTTAGATGTTGAAGCTCTGGAAATGGACTTCAGCTATCGCTTCAATCTTGAAAAGTCGTTGGCTCCTTCCTAAATTATGAAGCTGTGTTTGTTCGTAAACCGTTCAAATTATTTTACCATGATTTGTACGCTGTTTGTACATAGTTTCTTTCTTCGCTTGTTTGACATGAGTAAAGTATGTACTACTCACGACTTTGTCCCCCAAACAAACGAAGTACACGCTTGCCTCGTTTCTTGGAACAGATTTGTAGTGACAGTGTTTTTGTTTTTTTAACATTGAGATGGTTCTACACGAGTTGATCGTGTCGCTGTCGGATAATCCATACTTTGGGGCGGGATTCGGCCTGTTCGGATTGGGCACCGCAGCGGCATTTGCTCGAAAGGGCTTCCAGATTGGCATGTTGGTTTTCCGTCGAAAGTGCATGATATCCGTCGAAGTAACCAGCGAAGACAAGTGTTATTCATGGTTTGTTTTCATCTATCTTATTGACCACATTCGTGCATATCGTTCTTCATCCCATATGCTAGTGCTCTAATATCTGTGAAATCCTGTCACATTCGGATGCCCAGTGCTACATATATTCTGAACTTTCTAACTGTTGTCAGGAGAAGCGGCAGCTGGTTTTGTATCATTGGCTGACTACACGAATGGTGGTCTAGTGGAACGTTGAGTATTCTTTTCTACGGTAAAATAGTTAGTTCGCTGTACTTAGTTTAATATTATCAGTAGTACTCGAAGTTAGTTAATTCATTAGGTGAAAGGGACATTTTCGTAGTTTTTGATGGATAACTACAGATTTTATTATGTACTACCGGTGACTCGTGAAACTTGGCTTGTTATCAGAATACTAGTTAAAGTCTGGTGCAGGCCATTAGTGGTAAACTGGCAGAAGCCAACTTAAAGAATTTTGGAATCGACCTCGGTTTTGCTTTCGCTGCTTTGCAGCAATTCATCATTGCAGTGCAGAAATATCATGAAATAGGTGATATGACGAAGGTTGTCAGGCTTTCAGAACACAAAGGTGCCCCATTCATCCAGATCAGTCGAAGGTCAAACCGAAGCATGGGCATGAGTGGCATCAGCTATAAATAAATGCTGTACTTCGTTCAGACAGATGATGATATCATAGGATGATTGTAAAAACTGCGATGATGATGGATAAATTTGACACCTTGAGGAACCGGGTAGAAATGAACAGAATTCTCTCCGCAGGATCGCACCAATACCGTGCTTAGAAGTGCAAACTAGGTTTCATTCTGTATACTCTGTTAAGAGAGAATAACAGCTGGAAATTGCACTTTGAGTCATAGATCAGTCAAGAAGGTAGTAAAATGAGTTAGTATGTTTTAGTAATGGTGTTGAGTTAGAAACTCACTGATTATTATTTATTCGTGTTGTTCCTATCGTTTAACATCTACTTTCGAGCGAAGCTTGCATCGAAATGAGTTTACGCTTTGTGCTGATTATTACTGTGGATGGTCAGCTATCAGGTGGATCAAAGCGATGTGCAACCGCGAATAGTACGCGCATCCCATAACATGGCCACGTTCATTCTGGTATGACCACAGCAGGATGTCTTACTGTCCCTATTTTTCGCAAGTCGCTGATTTGCTACCCGTTATAGGCTGATTGCGCCGAAGCAACCTTGGACTAATTCCTTCCTCGATGGAATTCGTGGTTAAGACAAGTTGTCCCTTGAGCGACTTCAAACCCAGCACCTACGTACTTAAACGCCGCCTTTTTACGCACTGTGCGATCACTCGACAGAGATTAGGTTGTTCAGATTAATGCCGTTCGAACGACGCTAATTCATTTTCATGTTTGTAAGAAAGTTGGTAGAAGTGTTTACTGCTTGAGGCATTGCGGTTCAATATAAATGAAAACACAAGTCAGGTATATGACGAAATCCGTACCAAGGAAAACGGCTAAAAGAAACGAAATGATGATGAAAACCGAATTGAATGTGAGGAGGAAAATAAAGAACAGCAAGAGAACAATGCGATAAAAGGAGCGGAGAAAAAGACGAGGATGAGAGAATAACTTCAGTGGTAGTGCTACTAGTGGTACGAGAAGAGGTTTATTAGTTTGGGTAAGATAGTTGCTAGATAGAGACTGGCATATCGTCTAGAGATTAGAGAATGGGATACCGTCTAGAGACGGTCAGCGCTAGAATTCAGCAACGTCACAATGACAAGAAGGGCAGCAGAACACAGAAGCACAAATTTAGAACTACTGTACACTGTGTAAATAGCCTTGCATAACTGTGTCACTGAACGGCGGTCCATTGTTGCTTACACATTCACTTTCTCAGCTTCGGTGGTAACCTATCGTTAAAAGGCTGCTAACGTTGCGGATGCATGCTACTAGTGAGGAATTTGGTGCCAATTCAAGCGAAACTGTGAATCAGTGAT